TCATTTATTTGTTCTGATATACAGGGTGCTCCAGATTCAGCGAGCACAATTTTCATGTATTAATTTGAAATTTGTGGTGTTAGGATATGGGAAATTGGAAGTTTAGAAATTTAAGGATTTAAGAATTTTGTAATTTGGAGTTTTGGAATTCGAAATTTTGGAGTTCCAAACTTTGGAATTCGAAATTTTGATATTCGGAATTTTGTAATTAAAAATTTTTATTTAAGGATATGGGAAATTGGAAGTTTAGAAATTTAAGAATTTTGGAATTTGAAGTTTTGTAATTCGAAATTTTGGAGTTCCAAACTTTGGAATTCGAAATTTTGATATTCGGAATTTTGTAATTAAAAATTTTTATTTAAGAATATGGGAAATTGGAAGTTTAGAAATTTAAGGATTTAAGAATTTTGGAATTTGGAGTTTTGAAATTCGAAATTTTGGAGTTCCAAACTTTGGAATTCGAAATTTTGATATTCGGAATTTTGTAATTAAAAATTTTTATTTAAATAGTTTTGACTTTATACCCAACAGCTGTGTATGACAACGTACGTACTTTACGACATTAAATTATCAGTCACTTTTGATACTTCGGTCCGAACACTTCATATAAAACGATCAAACAATAAAAATGTTCATTGAATTTGTTTTTGATCATAATCGAAAAAGAATGATTTTATAAAGTATTTATCAGAGATAAACCGTATTCATATTTCGTTCACGTTTCATGACACGACAGAGCTTACTCTGCAACAACATGATAAAGTTAAAAACGTCCAATACCGTTTATGGATATGTGTACAAACGAAAACGTCTGCTCAGCGCATGAGTAAGATTTCAGATTATTTGGCATATTTATTCGTTTACCTCCAGACTACGCGTCAATAAGATACGACAGGAAATTGAGCCACTCCCACGACAAACTAAACACAGAGCGGTATTTAAGGATTCAGATTTTATAGAACATCGAGAAAGAAGAAAGTAAATAGCAATTATTCGATTTATGACTTTATACGGTTCAACAAGTATACAAACTGGGAAATTAATAACGGAATTATTGTTTCGAGATATAAATAACTAATAACTGCATATTTGCTAATGTAATTCTATTATGGATTTAGGTACATTTTCAGAAATTAATTTATTGCTACTGTTTGTAATTATTTTCTAAGGTGATGGATTCTGATCATCCTAAAATCATGATGAGCCCTATTTTCCTGTATAAAACACAATTCTTAATTAATTTTCCGATAACAATGAAACTGGTAAGGGGTTTTGTGTCCCGATATTACCAGAACCACTCGGCTTTGTTAAGTATTTATTGGTAACTCGACTACAACTTGCAAGCTAACAATAGGAGTAATGGTACCTTGACAGACTAGCAATCCTTACTCATATTGAGGACAGGCCACCATTATTATACAATTTGTAGTTTTTCACAGTATTATCCAATACTCCGATATTCCAAAACTCCAATGTTGCAATATTAAAAAATTGCAAAATTAACAAATTCTGAAATTCCGAAATTCCAAAATTTCAAATTCTGAAATTCGAAAATTCCGAATTCCAAAACTCCGAATTCCAAAATTTCAAATTCTGAAATTCCGAAATTTTAAAATTTCGGCTTCCAAAACTCTGAATTCCAAAATTCCGAAATTCCAAAATTCTGAGCTCCAAAATTCCGAATCCCAAATATTCCAAATTCAAAAATTTCGAATTCCAAATATTCCCCTTTCCAAAATTCCAAATCCAAAAATTCTGAAATTCCAAAATTCTGAGCTCCAAAATTCTGAATCCCAAATATTTCAAATTCAAAAATTCCAAATTCCAAATATTCCCCATTCTAAAATTCCAAATCCCAAAATTCCAAATTTCAAAATTTCAAAATTTCAAAATTCCAAAATTCTGAATCCCAAATATTTCAAATTCAAAAATTCCAAATTCCAAATATTCCCCATTCCAAAATTCCAAATCCCAAAATTCCAAATTTCAAAATTTCGAAATTCCAAAATTCCAAATCCCAAAATTCCAAATTTCAAAATTTCGAAATTCCAAAATTCTGAATCTCTGAATCCCAAATATTTCAAATTCAAAAATTCCAAATTCCAAATATTCCCCATTCCAAAATTCCAAATTCAAAAATTCCGAAATTCCAAAATTCTGAATCCCTAATATTTCAAATTCAAAAATTCCAAATTCCAAATATTCCCCATTTCAAAATTCCAAAATTCCAAAATTCCAAAATTCCGAATTCCAAATATTCTCCATTCCAAAATTCCAAAATCCCAAAATTCCAAATCCCAAAAATCCAAATCCCAAAATTCCTTATTGCAGCCTTCAAAATCCCAAATTTCGAATTTCCAAAATTCCAAAATTTCGAACTTTCCAAACCATAAAAATTTCTATCTTCTCAAGTTGCAAACTGTTACCATTTCCAAATCGTTAAATATCGAAATTGCAAAAGCTAGCAATTTCTATATCCTAAAATTGGTCGTCGTCCAAGTTTCCAAATGCCAGATCGCTATATAGGAGCGTGGCCATGCCCGCTACACACTATCGAAGAGAAATTGGCCGTGCACCCAAAGTCAATGACTTCGTGGCTTGGTTTAATTGACCCGACGACGGGATCTTTTCACGGCCTTAGGAATCAAGGCCATCGCGTATACATATTCGATGCAGTTTCACGTGTGCGTATGTGGCACTCGTATTGGACATCTTTTCGTAGACACGTCGCATGTTTACATACCGACAGAAATATGTACTTATGTACACCGAATGTTACAACATTCTACGTTCAATATTCCTATTAATAAGTACGAACGTACCTGTACGTTTCGTTCATTCTAAAACGAAAAGTAGGCTAAATCTACCGTCGTTAAAGTCGTACAAACATTAATCATTAATCGTAAATAGCTCCAAGAGAAACTTTGTCGAAATAATAATTTGGAACGCTGATCAACCATTCTTTTTTAGAAAGTATGCCCCATCGCTGACTAAGAAATTTTGGAAATCGGATTATGGCAGAAAGTATCAAGAATCGAGTAGAATTATTGGGTCGTCACTTCGCAACATTAACTGTTCCAAGTTGAATTGTAGAGATTGTACACTAGTTCTTTTAAGGCCAATAAAAGTTGTAGCAAAGAATGGGAACGAAGAAAACGTATTATAAGGAAACTAATAAACTGTTGTATTTCTAACTCTCAGTCATTTTGAAGAATGAAAAATATCTCAAACTTCTTTTCCTGTATGTTGACGTGGAATAACATTTTTGTTAGTTTGTAGATAAAGCTATTCTACAGGATACGTTATATTTTATTCTACAGAAGTATTCGATAGAGGTATATTTTATTCTGTAGGATACCTCTCTTTACAACATATATTCATAAACAAAGTACATAAAGAAATATATCTACATGTGTACAAGTTTTAACAAAACCAATGACTCAGAAGTCTGTCATCTCCTCTTACTTGGTGAAAAGTAATATTAAATACCGAAAGAATATTCTGTTAAAAAAAATTTTCTTCGCGATCGAACAAACAGGATAAAATACCAAGACAGACGGTTGCCCTTCCTGTGGTAAAAACATACGTTATCCTACGGATGCCAGCATCCTACTAGATAAACGTTTTCCAGATAACAAATACTGCCGACTTCCCTATAATGGAAATACGGAATAAAAGACTTTTCTATACCTCGCTTCCTATGTACAGTACGGAGCAGAGATTCTTAGACCGTACGTCTGTAACCGCTAGCTGATTAGTAGCGGATTCTGTGTGAATCATGTTAGATATTAATGTGTAAGAATATTCAAGGGCAGTATGTGAGATGCGAATGCGGATTGCGAAAAATTAGTTTTCGGAAGTTAGATTTTTGGTGTTAAGAAATTTGGGATTTGGAATTTTGAATTTTGGAATTTTGGAATTTTGAAATTTTGGAATTTTGGAATTTTGGAATTTTGGAATTTTGGAATTTTAGAATTTTGGAATTTTGGAATTGGAAATTTTGGAATTCGAAATTTTAGAATTAGGAAGTTTGGAATTTGAAATTTTAGAATTCGGAAGTTTGTAATTCAGAATCTTGGAATTCGGAAGTTTGGAATTCGGAATTTTGTGATTCGGAATCTTGGAATTCGAAATCTTGGAATTCGGAATTTTGGGATTCGGAATTGTAGTATTCGGAATTTTGGAATTCGGGATTTTGGAATTCGGAATCTAGGAATTTGGAATCTTGGAATTCGGGATCTTGGAATTCGGAATCTTGGAATTCGAAATCTTGGAATTCGGAATTTCGGAATTCGGGATTTTGGAATTCAGAATCGTGGATTTCGGGATTTTGGAATTCGGAATCTTGGAATTCGGTATTTTGGAATTCAGGATTTTGGAATTTGGAATCTTGGAATTCAGAATCTTGGAATTCGAAATCTTGGAATTCGGAATTTTGGAATTTGGAAGTTTGGAATTCGGAATCTTGGAATTCGGAATCTTGGAATTCGGAACCTTGGAATTCGAAGTCTTGGAATTCGGGATCTGGGAATTCGGAATTTTGGAATTCGGAATCTTGGAATTCGGAAGTTTGGAATTCAGAATTTAAAAATTTCAGAATATTTGAATTCTAGATTTTGAAATTTTGGTAGTTTAGAAATTTGAAACTTTGTAACCTTCAAATTTTCGAATTAAAAAATTTCTCGATGCTGAAGTTTTATAACATCATAATTTTCAAATATTAATATTATGGAATTGTAACGCACCGTAGAAATACAACCGTATGGCTGTAAGTTATATAGCGGTTATGGTGTTTGTTAGTAAGCTAACCCAGTATTGTTAATTAACCTAGGCGCCAAAGGATTTAGACGTGAAGACCACTCGACATATGGCTAATGCCGTGTGCCATAGGAAAGGTCAAGACGTGAGGACTAGCCGGCGTATAGCTAACGCCGATTGCTCCCGGAAATGATATGTGAACTCGACACAGCTAACGCCGGGTGTCACGGGAAATGTTAGTAATAAGACTCGTAACTAGATTTTGACGGTGAACCTCAGGCAGCGAAAGTGCACCGACAGATGGGTTCTTGAACTATAATTATTATTAAGCGATATATTTAAATTTGAAACGATAATTAAATATGTTCTCTAAAACCGGCTTTTTCATTGAAGATAAAAAGTTAACATGTTTAAAAGTGTGTCACAAGTCGTAAAAAAGTTGGGAATTCCCGGTATAGGAAGTGCCTCTTACCACATCTTTTTTATCTTATAATTAGGGGAAACCATAATCTAGGAAGAACCTAAGAATTCGGAAAGGGACTAGTAAGAACGTAAGAGGTGGCCCAGGTAGATTTGGAAGAACCTAACCTAAATAAAAATTTCTACACTTCCTTTTTGCCAAAGGAACTACGTTGCACCAGAGTGAATATACATCGGGAAATCTCCTGAAATTAATTATGCTCGTCAACGCGCGTATCACGGTGTAATTGGAGCGACTCGTTCAGAGTAACAACTAACGAGGGTGCGTTCACACCCACGTACCAAGCGGAGCATGTTTTAAAGCACTAAATATGGATGGTTCGTACAGTACTTTAAAGTTTTTGCTATAAGCGACCTCAATCTACTTAATGGAAAAGTGTAATTTCAGCTTCTCTTTAAATTCTCTGCATAGTTTTCATGTATGAGCTTATACGGAACATGGAGTGAAATGTAGGAACTTTGATTGATTTGTAGCATGTCAAGTGAAATAATATTTATTTAATTTTGTTAAACAAATTATTTCAGTAATAGTAGATAATGCTATAGTGTAGTTTTTGTTAGGTATCTATTGGAGATCCTAAGAGAGAGGTTATAGTATAGTAAGTATAATAAAGAAATTATAAATATAATAACACTAAAAAAACAATAAATAGTATACAATAATATTTGAAGTCAAGTTCTCAATAGAAATTAACTTTTTCCAGGTTTGATTACAAAGAAGAATCATTATGTAAACTAAACATTTATATATTTATTTCGTAAGTATGCAATGTCAACAGTATAGGCTATAGAGAATATTTTTTTTATACATAAAGCAACAGAGCTTGCGAAAGTTTATATTTAAAGCACTTATGATGCTGGTATATAAAACTTAGACTAATAGCAAATATCTTATTTACTGTCAACCGTTTATTTATACACAGATACATTGTAGTTTACACTTCACAAAAGGTTTGTCCATTAGCTATTTATACATGTATTTCTAACCCACTTCAGAAAAGGAGGTTCTTTACATTCTCAAATAAAAAATTATTATTAATAAACCTGTAAAATAATAAAAAAGGATGTCACAGTATTTTATATTTTACTCAATAAATAGCAATAAAATTTAATATAACATTTGAAAAGTTTTATTTTTTATTGAGCGAGCGAGCCGAAAGCGAGCGAAGCTCTTATACTTGACTTTGCAACTTCTTTGTCCGCATTTTTCTTTTGCATCACTCAATCAATTCTCATCAAATTTTGCATGCACATGCGTATGTACATCCAGATGGACATAGAAAAAAAAATTTTAATCGGACTTGCCACGAACGAATAATCACCGAAAAAACTGATCCTAAAAAGTGAGGGTCTGAACACGCATATAAGGAAAATAAAAAAATGAATCTTTCGGCACTTTGACGATGTAGTATGGTTCCTGAGGCATTTAGGAACAAATTTCTATTATGGTTTGATGCGTTTTGATGCTTAATAAAGCCAGGAAATCAATTTTTGTCGAATTCGGCCCAAAACGGTACAGGTGGCGCCATCTAGCGGCGAGCGGCGGAACTACGAAAAACTAAAATTTCGATTTTCTCGAAAACTAGCGAATTTTAAGTACTTCTGAGGGTCACAAATCAATCTGTGACCTCTCTGGAACCTATATGGTGCCACAAGAACCTCCTAAAAGCGCTACAAAAGAAAACAGAAAAATAGTCCAAAATATGGACTAAAAAATTGGCATCCATCTAGCGGTGAAAGTTGGAACTAAAAAAACATAAAAATGCGATTTACTCAAAAATTAGCGAACTTTGAGTACTTCCAAGGCTCAGAAAGTGTTATGTGATCGCATTAGAAGCAAAATAATGCAACAACAGCTTCCTAAAAGCTTTAATAAGGAAAATTTAAAAAATGCCATTTTGTGGAGAAAATTTGTGGCGCCATCTAGCGGCGTAGCTGCGAACTAAACTGGAAAAACGTATGTCCGAACACGCTTTAAGAGGTCAAATAAAAATTGATTTTTTGGGCTTAATAGGCAAAAAAATGAATAACTTATTGAACAAAAATTGCTTCAAAATGTCTAAAGAAGCATAGTACATCATCAAAGTTGCGAAATATTACTTTTTATATTTTTCCTTAACGCGTGTTCGGACATACGATTTTTCAGTTTAGTTCGCAGTCTCGCCGCTAGATGGCGCCACAAATTTTCTCCATAAAATGACATTTTTTTTATTTTCTTTATTAAAGCCTTTAGGAAGATTTTGTTGCATTATTTTGCTTCTAGTGCGATCACATAACTCTTTCTGAGCCTCAGAAGTACTCAAAGTTCGCTAATTTTCGAGAAAATCGCATTTTTATGTTTTTGTAGTTCCAACTTTCACCGCTAGATGGACGCCAATTTTTTAGTCCATGTTTTGGACTATTTTTCTATTTTCTTTTCTAGCGCTTTTAGGAAGTTCTTGTGGCATCATATAGGTTCCAAGGAGGTCACAGATTGATTTGTGACCCTCAGAAGTACTTAAAATTCGCTAGTTTTCGAGAAAATCGAAATTTTAGTTTTTCGTAGTTCCGCCGCTCGCCGCTAGATGGCGCCACCTGTACCGTTTTGGACCGAATTCGA